TAAACTCTCACAATAGCCCCAGCGCTATTTTCTTATTCAATCAAGGCTGTCTTGAATGACAGAGTAATCATGACAGTATGGAAAAAATTTAAGCACCAAAGAAGTTATTTTAGGGGCATCTTTACCATCTTTTTCCTTTCTAGACATCTGCCCCAGAGTTAATTAAAAATGATCGTGTTTTTGTATTTTTTTTTCCTCTCTTCAATTCAACTAGTCTTTTCTGAGCACCTGCTATTTTTAAGCACAGGTTAGGCACCAGGGAGACAGAAAGGAAAATAAAGTATAGTCCTTGTCCTAAGAGTTTATTTCAGTCTTTCCCACATCTTAAGGTCTGCAATTTGTTTTCAAATACAAAGACCTCATTCTACCCCAAAGGAAAAGAAAGGGTTTGATGAAAGATCAGTAAAACACAGTATTAAAGATAGGTACCAGAGGGTCTTTCTCTCTACATTTGTGTAATGGTTGACATTTTCAATAATAATAACCTAACGAGGAAGAAAAGCTATAACAAAAAGTTAAATGGCATGAATGCTAAATGTCATTCTTGGAGAATCTCTGCAGAACCTCAAGTGTCACTCTACAAATATTTACTAAGCACTGAGGAGGAAGGACACAGACTTTATTCAGCACGCAGAGCACCAACTCAGCCTGTTGTTTCTGACGCAGTAGGCATGGTCTGTCCCCAGACACAAGGCCCTGGCTCCCTTGAGACTCCCAGGGCAGCACCAGTAGCAAGGCTGGTACCTGCTACTCCTTTTACTCGAAGTTTCTGGGAGATACACACACATTTCCACACATATTATTCTCCCTTCCTTTAGCCTCCCAATTGCAGCTCCATGGAGGCTTCTGAGTAATCACTGTCCTGGCCCTTGGACTATGAGAGGGAGGTGAGATGCAAATGCTGACAGCTACTTCCATGCACAAGTCCTTCAAACTTGAAGACCCGGCTCCTAATGGCCGAAACTGAAAGCATCTGAGCAACAAAACAATGATGGCACTGTTTCAACCCACAGAGGAAAGTGAATGTCCACAAGTCCATATTGATTTACATGATCAAATATACAAATGATTGAGAAATGGCAGCTTTTTCTTATAGGAAACTTCTAATTACTAATGAAGTGGAAATGGGAAAAAAATCACCATTAGGCAATCACCAGAGTAATAATTGTTACAGCTGAGATCCACCAATGGATGCTAAAATTAATAGATGAAAATTTGAAGGTAAATAGAATGTGCTTTGTAGCAAGGTATCTACAAAAAGAAATACAGTAGCTTTTTCTTTCTCTTCTTCTTACTCTTCTCCTTCCCCTTCCCCTCCTCCTTCCCCATGTGTGCCCGTGTGTGTGTGTGTGTGTGTGTGTGTGTGTTAGTTACTAAGACAGAACCCAGAGCCTTCACACTAAACTATATCCCCAGCCTTTTAAAAAATTTTTATTTTGAGCCAGGGTTTCACTAAGTCACTTAATTGCCCAGGTTGAGCTTGAATTTGTGAGTCTCTTGCCTCAGCCTTCCAGAGTGCTGGGTTTACAGGTGTGTGCCATCACATCCAGCTGAAAGGGTGACTCCAAGGAGAAGAAATCCAATAGTTATCAATTTAAGGACGTAATCAAGGTTAAATCACCAGTGATAAGGTCTACTGACCTCATAAACCTCTGATATGCCACACCAAGGGAAGAAAATCGCTTCTGTGGTCTATCGTGCCAAAATGCATAGCTTCATCACAAGCATGAGAAGACATCAGACAAACTCATTCCACAAAATAATGAATTGGTCCTCTTCATAAAGGTCAAACTGACTATGGCCATACCACCCTGAACACACCCAATCTCGTCTGTCAAAAAGGTCAAACTGTGAAAGACAAGGAAACTCTCAGAAGCACTTGTCAGAAAAGACTAAGGAGAAACAAAAAATATATGCAATCTGTGTGGTACTGGGGATTGAACCTATGCCCTCTGCACTGAGCTACATCCCTAGCCCTTTTATTATTATTATTATTATTATTATTATTATTATTATTATTTTGTTTTGACAGAGTCTCACTAAGTCTCTAAGTTACCCAGGCTGGACTCAAGCTTTCCATCCTCCTGCCTCAGCCTCCCATAGTGCTGGACTACCAGATTGCACCACCATGCCCAGATGCCACAACATTTAAATAAGACTAAAATTAGTTCAAAGTAAAAAGTTTAAATAAAAATAAAGTCAGACAGTATATCCCAAATCAACATAGAGGAGTAAATTAATTTTGAAAGAGAATCATCTGGGGTTTTTATTGCAGTTTTGGGGTTTGGGTTTTTTTTTGTTTTGTATTTCTAGTGCCTCAAACCAACCTGACACATAGAAGATGGGGTCTACCAGCAGGAGCTCATTTTCTGCAGATATCAGGGGGATATCACTGGCCCTAATATTTAAGAAGCTCTGAGATAATAGGGAAAAGACAGGGCTCAAAGTCACAAAGTGCTGAGTTCAAATGGCTTTGCCAAGTGATCCAATTTTTCTGGGTCTACTTGGCAATTTCCTTAAAAAGCATTTCCCAAAGTGCAGTTCCAAAAGTACCTTTATCACATGCACAGAGGAGTGCATTAGAAGTATAGATTTCCTGGGTCCCGCTCCAGAGCTAACAGGCGCAAACAGCTGAGTCTGAGCCTCAGGAAAGTGAAATTTTAACAAGTACCCAGGTGTATCTTAGATGCAGAGAAGTTTGAGAACAACTGAAATAGGACAGTCAGCCTGGAAAGTAATGTCCACTTCCTTCCGGTGTGGAAAAGCAGTAAGAAAATATGTGAAAATTAGTTCTTTAACTGCTTGTAAATAGCTTTTGCTTCCATCGTTTAGAAAGTAAGCAGACATGATATCCAAACTAATATTGCTAAAATAACCAAAAATTGAAAAGAATCCAAACAGGAATCTAGTTTAATTAATTATAGCACATCCATGTGACAGAACATACGCTTTCATTAATACTGTGTTTAAAAGAACTCAACTACATGGGAAAGTGCTCATGATGACTAAGTGGGAAAAAAAAAAAAAAATATATATATATATATATATGGGATACTTGCCTAGCATGTACAAGGCCCCAAGTTCAACACCCAGTACTGGAAAAAAACTAAAATACAGTTCCATTTATGAAATATATGTGTGTATATCTTTCATATATAAAATGCCTGGCATCACTGATAAGCATCTCTAAATGAAAACATTAGGGATAGTTTTGTTTCTTCTGTAACTTCTATTTTCTAGCGGTTTTATGACCCAAAACAATGTTGTTTTCTGATAAAATGACTACATAGTTTTCCTTTAAAATTCAAAGGTAACACAATAGACAGGGATCATATTTTTTAGTTACATAAAGGTGGCAGCGATTCATTCATACAACCTTAAGGAAACCTGTTGTAAACACGCCCCAATCTCCAAGAAAAGCCTCTGAGTCTGTGAGTAAATTTCAAGGCAAGAGAACCCTGTGGTCTCTGCTTGGGATACCTATTTCTGGGCTCCGTGCCCAGAGGTTTTTATTTTGAAGGCCTGAGGTGGGGCCAAGAAATCTATATTTTTTAAAGGAATGCAGGTAATTCTGAGATAGGCAGTCAAATTTGGGAACCCACTGTTTATTGACGGCTTAAAAAAAAGACTAGAAAACCACAACGGACTTGCTTTGACTATTCCTATTCTGGATTTTAAAAACTTGAAGGGTACGGTCAGTTCTCACGCCATTTGCACGCATCTCTGGATAGTGCACACATTTTTGGCTCAGCTTAAAGTAGATTCAAAATACTTGTATCAAGGCTTTATAAAGTGTAACAACAAAGCCTGGTTTTATTGCCCTCCCTACTCACTTCCCCGCAGGTTACACAAACAGTTCCTCACAGTGATTCTCGGGAAGAAATGTTTTTAACCTTATTAAAGCCATTGATCGCTCTCAAAAATGCACAGGTCAAGTACTTGAGTTTTTGTAGTTTCAAGGGTCTAGGGTCTGCAGAGGCCAAATCTGCTCTATAAGACAAAAAATCCAAAATATGAATAAACACACTGTAATCAAGCATTTTCTCCCCCCACCCCACCCCCACCCCCCAGAGAGAGACAGTGGAGCACTCCCTGCAGGTGTCGGGAATAGTCCCCCATGCCAACACTTCCACCTGAACCTTCAGTCCTCTGCATTCCCACCTAAGACTCCTTCACTTTCTTGCATCTTCATATGTTCTTCTTTCTTTAAAAATTGGCTAATTAATTTTTAAAGAAAAAAAACAAACACTTCCCAATGCTCAAACTACCACCTTCTTCCTGCTCCGTTTCCTCGCCCGAGATCAGCCTGTGCCCTGGCCGCCTGCTTGCCCTTGGCCCCTGGAACTCTCCGGACAGCGCACACCCACCCTCCCGGGACAGCTGCTCCCTCCGCCACAAGCCGGGGCCTCTTCTCTGTTCCGATCTCCCTGGACCTTTCGTTTCTTCTTTCCCCCAGTTCTGGATCTAACAGTCCTTATCTAATGGACCGCAACACTAAGAAAGAAAGACTGACAGCCAGACTTATAAGCAGATGTCCAGAAGTCCGTTAAAACCCAAGTGATCCTTTCCCAGAAAGCTCAGAACTCGTCCTCCCCGGCCCTGTCAGAGATCAGAGGAAGGGGCTTTCACCAGCGACGCGCCCCAAGGGAGAGAGGGTCAGGCGGGGCTCCCAGATGGCGAGGCGGAGCGCGCCCCAGGAGCACCTCGGATCGTCCCCTCCCGGGCAGCATCTCGCCGCCCTCCCAGCCCAGCAGTGGCAGCGCCGCGGTGGGGCGCCAGCAACTGAACCGGACACCCCAGCCAGGCTGGGCTTCTGAAGGTCTCTGCCTGGCCCAGCCCTCGCAGAACAAGACCCCCCCCCCCTCGCCCCAGCCCAGGCCGCGCAGGCCCCGCGATCGCTCGGCTCCAGCCAGGAGACCCACCAAGTCCGGCGCCCAGCGCCCGAGTGCCGGCAACCTCGGGTCCTGGACGCCTGCGGACCCGAGGCCACGCGTACTCACCCTGGAGGCGGCTGCAGTTGGCAACCGAAGGAAAGGGAAGCGGCCTGCAGCGGCCTGGGAGACCGCCCGCTGCCCGCCCCGGTCCGCCTCAGAGGCGGCTACGGGGCGCGGGCCCCGCCTCCCGCCCGCCTGACTGGTCTGCCCAGCTCCCCCTCCGGTCTGAGCTGCGCGGTGGGACGACGCTGCCCCGGCGCTGGGTGGCGCCGGAGCACTTCTTGGTACTTGGCATCATCGGGTGATCAGAAAGCATTGTGCCAGTGCAGTAGGTGCTGGGCACGCCCCAAATTCCATCTCCATAAAGGCTCACAAAGCCCTAAGAGGAGATTGGAAATTTACCACTGTACAGGGTAGGGAGCTGATGCTTTAGAGGGTAGTAAAAATGCCTTACATCACTCCCGGTTTCTGCTTTCTCAAGTACCTAACCTACCGAACAGCCCGTCCTTTCCAATGTTACAGTACTATTGGGAGTATCAAATGAATGAATATTGAAAACCTCTAATTTATTTTAAAATATTACAGAAAGCCAAGACAGAATTGTGTTTCAGAATTAGAGTGAAAGCGTGGTGGGCTCTGCTTAGGCAGGCAGAAAAAAAATCAGGCTGACTTCTCCCTCCCAGAGCTCGCTCCTGCAAGTACGCGCTCCAAGAAGCCTCTACCTCACCCCAAAAGGAACCAACCATGGGAAAAGCCAGGGCTGAGGCCATTGAATGGGAGGTCTGCGGCCACACTGAGGCCACACGTCTATGAGGGCACTGTGATCCGGGATGAAAACAAGGAAATGGGAGCCTGAGCCTCCTGAGTGGAACCGAGACTGAAGAGCTCTGAAGAGGTCCCAAGTCCCCCGAGCTGTGAGTTATGGCGTGTGTCAGAAACAGTGGAAACCCTTCTGGAGAACGTGCTCTCAATGTAATCCCGTAGGGTTCAAGCCAATACAGGGGCACAATTTTTAAAAAAATCACCGAGTACAGGAGGCCACACAGGACTGACAGCAGAATTAATGCCCAACAGATTTAGACCCCCAAGGACACATTTTTAAAACAGACTTTTGGACTGGGGATTTAGCTCAGTGGCACCGCACCTGCCTCACAAACACAAGGTCCTGAGTTCAATCCCCGGTACCAAAAAAAAAAAAAAAGACTTAACAAATCGAATTTAACATAGTTTATTTGAGCAAAGAAATCTTCATGAATCAGGCAGCACTTAAGGAGTACAGAGGAACAAGAGGCAGAAACTGCTTCAGGAAGTCCAGGCTGGGACCTGGAACAGCTTCACTTCCATTGTACTCCAGTTGTCCAAGAGGTCACAGGCAGCCCACATTCAGAGGAATGGGAAACATGCCCCCATTTCTCAGGGGAGAAATGTCCAGGTTGAGGCTATTTTTAATCTACCACACCACAGATATTTATTTCCCATTTTCTTCATAATATACTTTATAGCAATCTTTTCCCCATCTAACACCATACATAAAGGAGTCCCCCTGTGGGTCAAACTGTGCTTCTTCTATCCATGTGCTGAAGCCATAACCCCCAGTATCTCAGAATATGACTGTATTTGTACACCAGGGTCATAAATGTGGGTCCTATTCCAATATGGAAAACAGGATGACCATGTAAGAACACAGCAAGAGAGTAGCTGCCTGTAAGACAACGAGCAAAGCCTTAGCAAAACCAAGCCTGTTGGGGCCTGGGATTTAGCTCAGTGGTTTTGCCACCTACAGCTCAAGCACAAGGACCCGAGTTCGATCTCCGGTACAAAAAAAAAAAAAAAAACAAGCCTGTTGACACCTTCAGCTTGAACTCCCAGCCTCCAGAATTGTAAGAAATAAATTTTGTCATTTGAGCCACATAATGGTTGGTGTTTTGTTTTGAGAACTGTAGCTGATACAGTCTGCTTTATTCTAAAAGTGTGTCATCTTTCCTTGTTTTTCATTACACCAACATTTGTGAAGAGTACAAGTCAATTATTTCATAGAATGTTCAATTTGGATTTGCCTGATTGTTTCCCATAATTAAATTCTAGTTGTGCTTTTTTGGCAGACTATGATAAAGGTGATATAACTTCAGAGCATCACTGCATGTGTGTTTTAGTTACTTTTCTCACTGCTAAGACATAATACCCAACACTCACAACTTCAAGGAAGACAGGTTTATTTTGACTCAGGTTTTCAGTCCATGGTCAACTGGCTCCAGGGCAGAAATGGCATGATGGAAGAGAAGGGCCTGGCAAAGGAAAATTGCTCACATCATGGCAGCCAGGAAGCAAAGAAAGAAAGAAGAAACTGGGGAGAGAAGAGGGAGACCTCCTGCTTAGAGCTCAATCACCTCATATACCCTCCTAGGTCATGCCCCCAGTGACCAGCCATACCACCCCTCATAATCTAATTATCTTCCAAATACACGAGGACTTGGGGGTTGTTATGGCTTGTATCTAAATGTCTCCTCAAAGCCTCATGTGGTCATAGATGGGGCTTTCCAGAGGTGGCTGGACCTAGAGTGTGTGATGCTGGGACTAAGGATGTGATGCTGAATTGACTCATGGTGCAATCCTAGGATTAAGGGTGCCCCACCCTGGGTGTTTGTGCTACCCTATGGTAGCCTGGCAGTAGCTTGGACAGAATATAAGGGACAGAAAGAGGGCTGCTGTTATTATTTGCTGCTTTTTTGCTACTTTGCTGATTTGCTACCTTCTGCTCACCATGAACTGTTTCTCTTCTGTGGTGCTCTTCTGCCATGCCACCCTGCCTTGGAGCCAGCCAACTATGAGCTGAAACTTCTGCAAATTGTGAGCTACAACGAACCTTTCTTCTTTTAACTTTGGGTGGCAAGTATTTTGTCTGAGCAACACGAAAAGTAACCAGGACAGGGGCCATCTAGATCTAACATTCTGCCCCTGGCCCTCAGAAGATTCACATGCATCTCCTTATACAAAATCCAGTTAGTCTATTTCTAAGAGTCACCAAAGTTTTAACAGTTCCAGCATTGCTGAAAGGTCCAAGTTCAAAGTCTCCTCTGAGGCCCAAGGCAAACTCTTAACTGCAAGCTCCTATAAAAATCAAAAAGAAAGTTAAACACTGCTGACATACAATGGCATGAGGTAAACATTCCTGTTTTAAAAGAGAGAAATAGGGAGATAGAAAGGAATGGGACCAAAGCAGGATAGAAACTCAGCAAGGCAAACATTAAATCCTATACCTCTATGTTCAGAAATTGGCCCATTGTTGTAGAGAGATGTGAACTCCAAATGGCTTAGGCAGTCCTGTCCCTATGCATTGCCAGTTTCAGCCCTCACAATCTCTCTCTTGGAGTGGTTTTGCTCACTGCCTGTGACTTTCTTCAGTCAGTTCACATTCCTGACTTCTCCAACTAGCTGGCATTTCTACTGCACTTTTGGATTCAGTCACAACTTCATGCACTGCCCTCTCAGGAGCACACTGCTTCACCTCCCAAGCCTTCTTCTGAAACCCAGATAGAAGCCTCCATGATCCAGTATTTTTGTACTCTGCATGTCTGTAAAACCAGCACCATGTGGATGACACCAGTCTGTCACCAGCTCAAGATGGCCACACCCATTGCATCATTGCTACAGAGACCTCTGAGTGCCTGGATGGGTGAGCACTGCAAACTGAATCCTGGGCAATTTGTTCCTTAGGTGATCCTTCTGGAGCAAGGTGCCCTGGGATTCTCTTCTCAATTGAAAGCTTTACAGCATTGCATCCTCAAGCCATCACTGGGTTTCTAAAGTGTGCTCAAGTCATCTTTCCTATTGTCCTAACACAAAGTACTTGGCTTCTTTTTAATGGTAATCTTTTCCAGCAACCAACCTGTACTGGGCCAAGGCTTTACAGGTGCTGACTTTATAGTTCCTTTCTGGCCACCAGAAAAAATTTTCAAATTATCCCATTCTCCTTTTTGATTCTGCTTCTGACAATAGGTATAGCTAAAAGCTGCCAGCAATATCCATGCCACAGCCTCAGCACTGGGCTGCCTTGACATTTCCTCTGCCAGATTAATTAGTCTACCATCTTTAATCTCATTCTCCTGCTAAGTCCCAGGACATTAATAAAATGTAGATCAATGTTCTACCCAAGAATAATATACGTGGTGTTGAGGAAGAGGAGGAGGAGGACTTAGAGATACAGAAAATATCTTTAAAGACCCCAATTGAACTCATAGAGATGAAAATTAAGATGCATAATGTTATAGTTTAGATCTAGATTGGCCCCCAAAGCTTCATGTGTTTGGAAGGCAATTGGATTATGGAGGTGGTATAGCTGGCTTGCTGGAGGGATCTGGTCAGAGGAGCTGGACCACTGAGAGCATGGCCTAAGAGGGTTTATCTTCCTCCCCAGCTCTTTTCCAACTCCACACACACAAAGCAAGCCTAAAGAAGGCTGGTAGCTCCAGTGGTAAACAATGGGCTGGTAGTGGTAGCTCTAGGAAAAGCTCATGGTGATTGATTATAGGCTGCAAACACAATGTGAGGTTTTATTCTGATAGTAACTCCTTTCCTCTGCATAGCAGGATAACTTTTGAAAGGAAATCTACTGCAATGCTTTCCACATTTAGAAATGGTATAATCAGGAGCGATTTTGAGAAGAGGTTTAGTGTTTAAGACTTAAGAGCTACTCCAGAGAATTGGAAGTTACAGAACAACCACAATTCAGGGTCTTTGGATCATCCTACTGCAATGATTGGGTGGTAGGTGATCTTAGGAGACAGTCACAGAGAGGCTGAAGACGAGTCATGGACTCACTGAGAAGATGAAGCAGAGGTGAGTTCAGACTGTGAGAGACACAGTGTCCCACCCTCTGGGGTAAGAAGCCAGGCCAATCAAATGTAATTTTCTGAGGGAACTGGGTCTTAAACTGCTGGGATTGAGTCCAAGGGACTCCTTGACTCTGCTCACTGCCTCCTTCAAGTAGAACATAGTGGTCTGTTTTCATTCTCCACCCACTAGCATGATCAGTGATATGCCTCTGCTTGGACATTTGCCATGTCTGGGAGAGTATGGACAGAGAGCCCTTTGGAGATAGTAGGGTACCCTCAAGCCATAGGCAACAAAGCTGCTCGGGGCTTGAGGTGCATAGAAGGGCACAGACAAACACTAA